CGATCTCCAGTACCGGTGCGCTCTCTCTCGCGCACACAAAATGGCTCGTTCCGCACACACACAGAGTCGAGCTTTAATGAAACACTGAGACCCAGACGTAATAGTACTGCATCATATTATTTTAGAATCAATAATTTTTCAAATTCTGATTTTTTTTTAATAACCATTTTTCCTCCTGGTCTCTCGCGCCCCCCAGGGGGGGCGCTCCCCCCACTTTGAGAACCACTGATCTAAAGTAACAGACAGAGAGTGTTTCTCAATGTCGAGGAGGCTTGCTTGGTAGCACATGTACCTCCGAGTCAGTTGCTTCAGAAGTGAGGCAAGAATCCTTCCTAGCATCGGAAAACGAAGAATTGTGGAACAGGCTAACAGGTGTGCAGGTGTGCGTCATATGCGAGGCCCCGCCTTAAATGGAACGCGACTTCCGCCAAAGATTTGGAAATTGGTCCGTGCGCAAAGCATTGTGGGGATTTTAAGACCGCGGAGTCTACACATGTGCAGCCTCGAAATTTTCCGCAACGAAGGACGCCGGCCTCGGTAGAATTCCAAGTATCCTGGACATTGGAACAGTCCTTCGGCGGCACTCGATGACGTAGTATCCTTGAAATAGTGGCTCTGGAGCAGCCTTCCTTGACATTGAGAAACACCCAGAGAATCAGCCCTTTTGAAACGGGGCTGAAACAGAGGGGATTATGGGATGCGGCAATGATCTGTTTGGTATTTGGAGCCAAACACTTCAGAGACATGTTTTGTATATATCTGAGACCTATAATATATTGATGAAAAACAGTATGATAGGGCAGGAGTTCTCAAACTTTTTTCAATAATGTACCCCCTTTGAAAAAGAAATGCAGCCAAGTACCCTCTGATCAGAGCAGAAACAATGTGTTAGGGATGAAAAGCCTATAAAGACGTACAGTACAGCGCTGCACCATCAGTGTCTGATTTATTAAAACAACAACATTGTAACTGAGAAACACTTAAATGCTACGTTTCAAATGTTTACAATCCATCACTAAATTCATGGCAAACCAATTTTAACATCATGCAATAACACTAAGACGACATTAGTTGCTTTGAACTGATCTTTTTAATAAGTTGTACTTATAATGTAGTGAAACATGGGCTTGTGCTTCACTGAGGATCTTTGTCATTCTGACAGGGAGGCTAACTGCAGTTAGTACACTTCACGTTTTGAAATATGTGTAACTCTGTTCATATAAAACCCACACTGCTCAAACTTCTTTACTTTTCCTAAAATTGGTTTATTTATTTATTTTGAGGCGTGGGGAATGAAGAGAAAAATATATATGAGCATTTTATGAGCATGGGATTTTGACCCCTCATATAAACATATGCATAATGGAGTGCCACAGTGACGCATCCTAAAACCCGGAAGTAAGCTGCGCATGGGTTCCCTCAACAAAAAAGCAATGAGATTTCTCCATAGAATTTTGGAAAATAGCTGGAAATAAGGTCTGTGGTTGAGACACATTTAAGAGACGGATCACGTTTTGTTCAGTCGGATAATCTCCACATGTCTATTGTCTACCCTACTTTTATAATTTTCGAATCATAAATGTAATCGATAGATTTATGATTGTGGCACTATGTTGCGTTATACTTTGCGGCCACACGCCGTTGCTAAGCAACGCTTATTGTTTAGGTGTCCTTTGATAAGCAGGCAGTCATATCATTAACTAGAACTAGCTAGATCTGATAGATTTGGACATAAACGCGAGTAAAGTATAACCGGACTCGAGCGAGAGATCAGATCAGCTGCTGCTGACGGAGAACACGCAGCTCTGCATGATCACAGCTCTGTCGCTGTGACGGACCGGTGAGCGGACCAAAATACACTAAGAGTTAGACCTAACACACTTAGCTAGTTAATCTACTCTGTAACTAGCTAAACTAGTTATACATATATGTATTCTTTACTGTCGGGTCACTTATTACAGGTTCAGCGAGCTGCACGAGACTGACGGGCTGTCAGGAGAGGGAGAGGAAAAAAGAGCACCCCGTTTATTGTTCCCATTTTATTATCCAGCGTTACTGTAAACCTTTGAATAAAGTAGTTCATCTACTATTAGCAGTTTGTGTAAATGCATTACTTATGTTGTTTTTCCCATTAACATAAAATAAATCTCACGTACCCCCTGCAGTACTCCAACGTACCCCTAGGGGTCCGCGTACCCCCATTTGAGAACCACTGTGATAGGGGACCTTTAAGTGTTTGCTGTTAAGCTCTTTCTGCAGTAACCTGGACACAACTCCCACTTCCCGAGTGACCTTCTCACCTTTCCTTATGAGGACAGCATTGTGTCGCCATAGAGTTAACTAAATCTTTATAATTATCTCATTCTTATATCTTTAGCAAATACTCTATGTACCCTTGCCCTCCTCTGCACCGCAACGGTCAAATAGGTGCTTCCAAATATTCATATTTTTCTTTCAATTCAAACTCTCCATGTGTTACCATTGTTGATCTATGGCTTTGCACATGTGTACCCTGTATAAGAACACACAGACGTGTTATCATTTCAAATGTGAAAAATTCAACCCCAAGCATTTTTATTATTGTGAGGAACTTCATTTGTTTGTTTTTTAAAATGTGATATTTGTATATATTTTTTTTTTAGGTTCTAATGAAAGTAATATACTTATGATTCTATTATAAAAAAGTATTATTCAGACTATAATTTGCAATTATAAGTTGATTTAATCAAGCCATACTGGAATACAAATGTTTGTGGTAAAGCAATGTACATTCCCATTAAGCAAGAGGTTGTTTTTGAAGCACTTTGCAGTTGAAAAAGAGAGCATTAAACGGTAATACACTGTTAATCTGTTCGGTTATTGAGCTTCAGACACATATATTACAATTCCAAAGACATCTCCATGACAATATACCACAGTTAAATACCACACTGACAGTAATACACATTTGAAATGTCTTTTGACATTATATGGCAGCCAAAAAACGGTGTAGCACGACAACATGTTCAGTAGGCACCCTGAGATGGAAATACAGATATGAGCAGTAACTTCTCAACAATTTACATCTTTCAGCGCACTGTTCAGTTGAGAGGCATTGAATGTCACTCTTCTGTCAGTTTATCTACAACCAAGTGACAGTACAACTCCACAATACATCCCTAGCTGTGCTCTTTTTGTTGTTTTTTCCATGTTAAAAGCATCAAAATGTGGCCCTGATGAACAAGGTTTGTTTTATTAACCACGAAAACACATTACCTATGAAATGAAAAGCTAAAATGTTGCATAAGTACTTCAGAATAAAGACAAATAATTGACCACATTCTGCATACAGCATGATGCAGTAGCCAGAGGGACCTCCTTTATAACTCGCTGCACATTCAGTAAATGTTTTTACCAGCTTTCCTTTTTCAAGGTGCTGGAGCTTTTCAAACAAAGAAGGCAGGAGATCATCCTGAACTTGCTGTGTATTTCAGTCATTTAGTGTGCCTGATGTGTGGCCTAAAGTGCAGCATCATTTCGGACTGAATCAGTCAAATAAATAAATATATTACGGTGAAGGACTATTTTCCACTGGATATGGGTTTTTTGTTTCACTTTGTTTCAAATTGCATAGCAAAGTGTTCTTGTGCACATACTATAATTCATGCTGTAGTACTTGGCTATTCATGGGAAATAGTTCTACGATGTTGTTAATATGTTGCCATCAGTGTATGGAGTTGTGCTCTCGCTGTGTAAAGTCAGCACTGTGGGTTTTCTACAGTGCGGAAAGAAGTACTAACTGTATGTGATACTACAAAGCGTATTAGCATTAAAATAAACTTAAAGCCCTTCATTAAAATACCTAATAAATCAATTTCAGCACAGTACTTGAGGAAATGTACTTTTATACCACCACTGATATTCTCTAAATTAAATAGTAAATGAATAGGTTAAGACTGAATATATATGTATTGAGTTCCTTTGTTTTAATAGCCCTATCTTCACAGTTTTGTAGTTTTTATCACAATTTATTCTTTTTTAAATATTTGTATTTATTGTGTAACGCTACAAGCTATATACATGTGGCTTTAACTACACATGATGAAATATGTTGAGATGTGTTTGTGCTCTTTATAAACTCATATTGCACTGATATAACAGAACATTAGAAAATTAGGAGTCGATATAATGTAATTGTGACTTATTGTAATATTTTGGGGGAAAAACATTAGAGAAATGAATTTATTGTAATATCAAATTAAGCCTTCAGGGAAAAATATGGGTATTCTTTTCTGAATCTTTTTTGACACATACAAAAATACTATGAGGTGAGTATTTACATGCAGCTCCCAGTTACATTTCATTAAATGGTACATTTTTAATTCAAACCAAAGCAGTATTTGTAGAAGCAATCGATACAGCAGCAGCAGATATGTGGGTTTCCTCTACATTTGTTTTGGAACTGAAAACTAAAAACAGCCATGTTAATTGGCACATCTTATATTGTGTGGTTCTAGCTTTGTTCATGACTTGTTGCTAATTTCCTGAATTATGTTTTATGTTCATTACTAAGTTTGTATTTTTCATTTATTTCAGTGCAAAAACGTTACATTACGGTCACCACATCATACTGATTATGTACACAAAGACATCATCTCCTCTTCTACCACTCTAGCATTCATTTGAGGCAAGTTATTTGAGGCTTTTGAAGTTACTAAACAGTAGTACATGTTTACCAGTGGTTACCCCGGGTCCACACCCGCAGACAATAAAGGATGTTACATTTTTGTGAATTATTAATGTACCATTCATATTGTTTTGAGGTGTACGAGTACAATGAAACTGCAATGCTTGGCTCTATTCTACCAGGACAAAGCAGCATCTTTAAAATGTTTCATCTGTTAATACTTTGTAGTGGAAACTCAACCCTGTTTCGCACTTTAGCAAAGTTGTTGAGTGAAATGCAAAAATAAATCATTACATGATTCTCCAATACTTTTGATGATTGAAACACTTTTTGACAAATTACCCTGCACTTTATTCCGATCAATGTCATTTAACTGAAACCAAGCTACGGTATGTATGTCAGTTTCATCTGTGACACTTTAGCTGGCAACTGACTGGATGTCACATAAAAACAGGATTACCATTTAACAGGCTCATAGATTTAGATGTCATTCTTTGTTTGACCGATCTCTGACAGAGTCGTTGTTGTTGATCGGTTGAGGCGGCGACTGCTTGCTCCTCACGCTCCTGCCGTCCGTGGCGCCTCGCGAAGTCTCCGTCACAAAGAGCCGAACCATCCAGTTTGATGTGACAATGCGTTTGTACTCGTTCCTGAAATTCCGGTTGAGTAAACCATAGATGATGGCATTCAGACAACTGTTAAAGTAGGCCATGAAGTAGCTGACCACAAAAAGCCATTCTGGGATCCGGGGAACCACACGAGACGGATCGATGGCCACCGCCAAGCCAATCAGGTTAAGTGGAGCCCAGCAGATGGCAAACAGCACGAAGACCACAAACATGGTGATGAAATTCCGCACGTCACTCGGTCTGATGCGAGGACTCTCCTCTGATTTCACTTTGCGTCGCACCTGGTGAAAACACACAAGACAGGAATTGGACTGTTAATGAAAGGCTACCATTCTCTGTCTCTCTTTGTTACAGTCATACAAAAATACTGTCTTGAACTCAAACAGATACGCTGCTATGGACAATGTTGCACTAATGTACATTTCCCAAAGATATTGAACTGACTGTTATTTTGTATATTGAGTGTTGTGCTTTTATGTATGTCTTAATGTGTGCATATGTATACATGTGTCTGTTGATTGTGTACATAAAGGTATATACAAATGTTGCTACATATTTTTATATATATTTGTATTTTTGTATTCGGAATTGTGGGAAACGGTATTTCGATCCCTCTGTCTGTACACACAAACTGAAAGATTGACAATAAAGTTGACTTTGAGATATTACTCCAGAGGTCTGCCAAATCTAATCTATGTGCTTGTCAATCATGATATTCCAGCTAATCACTTTGCTCAACTCCTGTTATATGGCATTAAGGATGTCTATGATGGTATGAATAATTTTGTTCAGTATTTACTCAAACAGTAGAGGGTCAATAATTAAAGGTCAACATTTTAAACCTGGGAGTGACCATCGTATTTGACTATGTTTCAGTCCAATTTAGAACTGAAACCTTGTATCATTGTTTGGCCCAAGGGTGTGTTTTCTTACACCTGTTAGTACGATTCAAGGACTCAAGGATCCACGGCTTTTATTGTCATTTGTACATAGCTACAGTGTAGATATGTCAATGAAAATCTTAGGTCACAGGCTCCTCCAACAGTGTGTACACAATACAACAGATAAGTAGTGCAAGTAAATACAATTATAATAGAATAGAAATAGTGTAAGAAGGGTCTATATACAAGTAATTGGAATATGATATATTAGATAAATAATGTGTGAGTTGCAAACAGATTAAATGTATGGATGTTCTTTCAAAGTTCAGGTGTTTAACAGTCTTAAGGCCTCTGGAATGAAACTGTCCCTGAGTGTGTTGGTTTTAGACCTGATATTGAAACCATAACACTTTCTATCTGGGTGCAAAGACACGAATAACCACAGAGAGAAGCATTAGACTGACCTGAATCACAAGTACCCAGATGCGTAGATAACAGAATGTAACCACTGCAATGGGAACCAGGAAGTGAACCACCACCACGGCCACTGTGTAGGAGCTGCTGACATTCTGGTCAAAGGTGCAGGAGTAAACCCTCGGGTCGTAGCGCAGGGAGCCGACGAACAAGTTTGGGATTATGGCCACGACTGTGAGAACCCAAATTAAGGCAACAAACAGCAGAGTGTTGCGATAGCTGTACAGCCGACTGTAGGAGAATGAGTGACAGATGTAGCAGTATCTGTTCACTGCAATCCCAGTGATGTTGAAAATGGAGCCAATGACACTCAGCCCCATAACGAAACCGCTGACCTGGAAAGAAAGAAAGGTGTCAGTGTATAAGGCAGGGGTGTCCAAACTGTGTGTTATAGTGAGTGTTAAGAAGCCCAATTTTCAAAGAAATTCAGTCAATTAAAGTTGAAAACATTTTCTAACAAATCTAAGAAAAAAGCCCAATAACACATTTACATGACAACCTTGAAATATACCCTTCATATTTCCTCTTTTTACACTGAACAAAAATATAAACGCAACACTTTTGTTTTTGCTCCCATTTTTCATGAGATGAACTCAAAGATCTAAAACATTTTAGGGTTAGGGTTAGGGTAATGTTGTGAATCGAGTGGCCCATGGTGGTGGTGGGGTTCTATTTCGTATATGGCTTCGCCCTCTAAGGCTGTCGCTATTGGGTTTACCCTTCTGCGCCCCCGCGCAGTACTGAAACACTTGTAGTCCACGCCCACCCGCTAGGTGGGCCCCACCCTCGGGCCACCTTCCGGTATAAATAGGGAGGTTGCCCGGTGATCTGCTCCCTCTTTTCTTCAGCAACCAGCAGTTTACTGAAGCACGAGAAAGCAACATCATGAGCAATAAAGAGTGTGTCCGTATGTGCCCTTCGTGCAATACGGGCTACATTATGAGCTACAATTTGCATCCGATATGCGCAGCCTGTCTGGGGCCAGAGCACGCGGACGCGGCTCTCAGCCAGCAGGTCGCATGTCCTCACTGTGTGCGTCTTCCTTCATCCGACAGGAAGCGAAGGGCGGACGCTCTAGCTGCTGCGGGGGAGGAAGACGTCTGGGGTGGGCAGGAGCCCATCCAGGACAGCCTGTTTATGGAGGCGAGTGGGGGGCAGGAGTCAGACGACTCCTTCCCCGCCTCCCTCCAGGGCTCACCATGCGGCTCTCCCCTTCCCCCTCTTCCCCGGACGGGGGAGACGGGGTCGGAGCGAGAGTCAGAGGTGGCGGTGGAGCAAGTGGTCCCCTTCTCCGTGGCCACGGCGCTACTGGCATTGGGAGGCATCATGCTGGAGCTGCCGGAAATAATCGGCAAGGCAGCAGCATGTAGAGGTCTCCCCGTTCCACGAGTACGGGAGAGGGTGGCTCTGGACGACATGGCGGGCGTGTTTTCTCGGGTGCAGACGGGCAGGAGTGATCCGATCTGGCCGCGCTTCCCCGCCATTAGGCGTTATCAGGAAGGTGCAGCGGCGAACCCGAGGAGCTTGAGGGCTCCGGTGGCCACCTTTGTCCCCTTCACCAAGGTGGAGGGGTTCACAGATGAGGTTTTCCCAACCACCCCCGCTCTGGAACCGAGCTTAACGGCATTTTTCGTGGTGAGACAGGCCAACTTGGTCGCCGGACGGCGCCCTATGTTGACCGACCCCAAGGGCCAGTATGTCGCCCGCCAGGCTGACCGGGCGCACCAGTGTGCGTTCCAGGCGTCGGCAGCGGCAAACAATATCGCTTTGCTGACCAACTCGGTGGTGACGTTGGTCGAGCGATCCACCACCGTGGCTCCAGAGGAGGCGGAGGAGATCGCTAAGGCGGCCAGCACGGCGCTCACGCTGTGCGCAGCCGTGGCGGTGTCCCAGGCGAGGATTATGGCCTGGATGACACAGATCCAGCGTCACCTCTGGTTACAGCAGGCAGCGGTCACAGAGCCAGCCAGGAAGGTCTTACTGGACGCTCCGATCAGCTCGGACGGGCTGTTCGGGCCCCAGTTCCTGGCCATGGTTGATTCCATGAAGGCGGCTTTGGAGCAGGCGGAGGACATCCGCCAGCACGTCGGCTGGCTCCAGCCAGCGGTGAAGCAGCAGCGACACCAGCGGCAGCAGCAGCAGCCAACCCGGCCACAGCGGCAGACGGACAGACACCAGCAGCAACAGCAGCCGAGGCGTCCGTCAGCGGCGGCCGGGGCACCGACCCGCACCTCCAGGGCACCGTCCCGCACCTACGGGCCCCCACCAGAGGGGGGTAAGAAGGGAGTGAGGTACTCCCGTTCGGCGTCTACTCCACGAGAGCCGCCGAAAAAACAAAGCCGGCCTTGACAGTTTGGGGGGGAGTGTGATCGAAATAAAAGTCGTTTATTTCCTAACATGTGGTCTGAGTCATCAGTTACAAATGTGTGTCACATATCCCCCACCCTGGGAGCTGCCTATGACCTGTCGGTTAATAGCCAGCCGGGTTCGGTACAAAAGCCTGCGCTATTTAATCTATCGATTAATAAGCTGCGGAGCACAATAATTACACCAACTGCCTCCAATCTGATGATTAGTAGGCGGCATGGTTCGCGACAGGCTTCTGATGGTTATGACTCTTCGGTTATTAAACCACAGACCTCGCGGCATTCTTCTGTCCGAGATACGCCACCTATACACGGTCATAATAAGCCCATGAGCGCAGTGTTAACGCCTAATGTGGATATTACTGCACACACCTCCATCCATCCTCTGAGCGTGTACACGTCTCATGATGCGAGGCGGAGTGATACGCAGCGTGTGGAGGCCTCCGCACAGCCCTTTCGCTCTAGGCCCACCTTGGGTTGCCTCACGGGCAGCGGCGGCGAGGGCTTTGGAGTGGCTCGTCGTCATGACAACCACAACACATCTCGAACAGGCACGCCCGCTGTCAGAGTGTTTCTCGGCGTGGCAGCGCCTGTGTTTGATGGACGGATGGATGCACAGGCTGATCAGCAGAGGGTACACCCTGCAGTTCGCCTCCCCCCCCCCACAGTTCAACGGGATACAGGTGACATGCCTAACATCCCAAGAACAGTGTCTTGCGCTCCAAGCAGAGCTACGGGAACTCCTGTTGAAAGAGGCTATTTCCAGGGTTCCCCAGTAGGAAGAAAATCAGGGGTATTACTCTCGCTATTTTCTTATCCCGAAAAAGACAGGGGGAATGAGACCCATCCTCGACCTGTCAGTTTTCAACGAGGCAATAATGAAAAGACCTTTTCACATGCTGATGGTCAAAAAGGTGCTAGAGTGTGTTCACCAGGGAGATTGGTTCACCTCTATAGACCTGAAGGATGCTTACTTCCATGTGCCCATCATTCCGAAACACAGGAAATTCCTGAGGTTTTCATTCCAGGGAATAGCGTACCAGTACAACCGTCTGCCGTTCGGCTATTCCCTGGCTCCTCGTACTTTTTCAAAGTGTGTAGAGACGGCGCTGCAGCCGCTACACAGAGGAGGAATGAGAGTACTATTTTACCTGGACGACCTGCTGCTGCTGGCTCGTTCCAAGGAGGAGGCGGCTTTACAGACGGTACAACTCATATCGCATCTGTCAAAGCTGGGTTTCATGATCAACTGGGAAAAGAGCTGTCCTGTTCCAGCCCAGAGTATTGTTTACGTGGGGGTGGAATTGAACTCAGCCCGCATGAGAGCACGACTCTCACGGCAGAGAGTGGAAACGCTGACAGCTCTCCTTCAACGTGTCATACCACGCAGCGTGGTGACGTCACTCTCCGTGATGCGGCTGCTCGGCATGATGGCAGCAAGTCACGTGGTGATGCCCCTGGGTCTCCTACACATGAGGAGACTACAGAGGTGGTTCATCAGCCTCCGCATCGACCCCATTCGACAGAAGATGCGCATGGTGGTCATCCCTCTGTCCGTGGGTTCAGACTTAACATACTGGAAAAGTCCCCACGTCCTGTCAGAGGGGGTTCCCCTGGGCAGAGTTACGTCACACATCTCGGTGTTCACAGACGCATCTCTCTCAGGGTGGGGAGGAACGTGCATGTCGCAGGCAGTGGGAGGACAGTGGCCGGCTCACATGTCTTTCCACATAAATGTGCTGGAATTGATCTCCGTACGGAGAGTAATTCAGCATTTTGCCCCATTGCTGCGGAATCAGCATGTGTTGATTCGCACAGACAACAAAGCCGCGGCGGCCTGCATCAATCGCCAGGGGGGTGTACGCTCAGTGCAGCTCCTGAACACAGCCAGACGGCTGTTGATCTGGGCGCGCGCACACGTGCTATCCATCAGAGCACTATATGTGCCCGGAGAGCTGAACAAAGGGGCAGACCTCATGTCCAGAGGAGGTCCTCGCCAGGGGGACTGGAGCCTCCATCCCGAACTGATTGCCCAGGTTTGGAGCCAGTTCGGGAAAGCGGAGGTGGATCTGTTCGCCGCACGCGGGAACGCGCAATGCGAGCTCTGGTTTTCCCTGTCAGCACGGGACCACCCACCCCTGGGGGTGGACGCGTTCGCACATCGGCCATGGCCCAGGGGACTGCTGTATGCCTTCCCACCAGTCCCGCTGATTCCTCGGTTCCTGGACCGAGTGCAGGAAAAGCGGCTGTCAGTGATCCTGATAGCCCCGGAACGCACGGGAGCTTCCTGGTCTCCATGCCTACAGCGTACGCTGTCAGGCAAGCCGTGGGAGATTCCGTGGCGGGGGGACGCTCTCTCACAGGTGGAGGGAGCGATCTACAGTCACCCAGTGATAGGCCAGCCCTTATGGGCATGGCCCCTGAGCGGGAACACTTAGAGAGCTGGGGTCTCTCTCAAGATGTTGTACGCACCATTCAGGGAGCCAGGGCCGCGTCTACCAGAGCGTCCTACACAGCCAAGTGGGCAGCGTTCCAGCGTTGGTGTGTAGGGAGAAGCCTGGACCCCATTACGTGCCCCCTGCCTCACGTGCTGTCATTCCTCCAGTTGTTGTTGGACAGGAAGTTGGCGTTCAGCACAATCAAGGTGTATGCGGCTGCCATATCATCTTGTCATGTGGGTTTCGGAACAGGGACGTTGTTCAGTCACCCCCTGACGAAACGGTTTCTGCAAGGGGTAGGAAGACTCAGACCGGTGTCACGCGCACTGGCGCCTCAGTGGGATTTGGCTTTGGTGTTACGAGCACTATGCAAAGCCCCATTTGAACCTTTAGAGGAGGTTCCCCTCAACATGTTATCAGCCAAAGTAGTACTGCTTTTGGCTCTAACATCGGCGAAAAGGGTGAGTGATTTATCCGCTCTCTTTGTGGCACCGTCATGCCTCCGGATCCAGGGGGATGGCAGTTCGGCTGTGTTACGTCCTAACCCAGCCTTTATGCCAAAGGTCATCACTAGCTCTTTTAGATCAAGAGTGATCACCTTGGACGGGTTTTTTCCGCCTCCTCATACATCGGAGGAAGAAGCCACATCTCATCTCCTCTGCCCGGTGCTATGTGGCGCGCACAGCGGCAGTGCGCCGTTCTCAGCGCCTGTTTGTGCATTACAGAGAGCGCTCGATCGGGCAACCTCTGTCTACACAACGGCTGTCACACTGGCTGTGTGAGGCGGTGTCACAGGCGTATGTCTCATCGGGAGTGGAGCCCCCGGAGAATATCAAAGCGCACTCAACCAGAGGAATTTCCTCCTCCACGGCGTTGAGCGGAGGAATGTCAGTGGAAGATATTTGCACGGCTCTATCTTGGTTTTCCCCCTGTTCATTTATTCAATTTTATTTGAGGGATGTTTCCCTTTCCTCTATGACGCACCCTGTACTGGGTGTCCTGTCAGAGTGAGTGACGTCAGGGAGCCAGCTGAGCGCCTCTCTCCTGCCTCTCGGCACACAGAAAGCGGCCTTTTTCCCCTCGTAGGAGAGGGATGTTCCCCTTCCTCTAATACACTTCGTACAAAGTGTGTGATTAGAGGGAGTAACGTCAGGGATCCAGCTGAGCGCTCTCCTACCTGGCTGGCACGGAGAGAGCGGCTGTTTCCCCTCTAAATATCGCAGGATAAGGTGGGACCTTCGTCTCTACTTCTCACAGCGGTCGGTATGTATTGTTCCCAGCCTTCACCCCGTCAGGAAAACAGGTATGTTTGCTATGTTCCAGGGACGGGGAGGTGCCATTACGCATGGCACAACAGGCAGGGGGGTGTTATTGAGCAGGTGTGTCTGTGCTTCTAGTGCTGGACGGACCCAGTGGGGCGCAGACTACATCATGCTTCGCCCTTAACCCAATAGCGATAGCCTTAGAGGGCGAAGCCATATACGAAATAGAACTGAGGTTACCTAACTGTAACCCAGCTTCTATGAGTATTGGCGCAGCCCTCTAAGCGCCGGGCCCCACTGGCTCTACGAATAGCTGAAGAAAAGTTATATTGTATGGGAGCAGATCACCGGGCAACCTCCCTATTTATACCGGAAGGTGGCCCGAGGGTGGGGCCCACCTAGCGGGTGGGCGTGGACTACAAGTGTTTCAGTACTGCGCGGGGGGCGCAGAAGGGTAAACCCAATAGCGATAGCCTTAGAGGGCTGCGCCAATACTCATAGAAGCTGGGTTACAGTTAGGTAATCTCAGTTATGGTATGGGCAGGCGTATGTTATGGACGACGAACACAGGCCACTCGATTCACAACATTACCCTAACCCTAACCCTACCCCTCACACCAGATACTGACTGGTTTTCTGACCCCCCCAGACCCCCCCCAATAAAGCAAAAATGCATGTTTCAGAGTGGCCTTTTATTGTGGCCAGCCTAAGGCACACCTGTGCAATAATCATGCTGTCTAATCAGCATCTTGATATGCCACACCTGTGAGGTGGGATGGATTATCTCGGCAAAGGAGAAGTGCTCACTATCACAGATTTTTTCAGATTTGTGAACAATATTTGAGAGAAATGGTTATTTTGTGTATATAGAAAATGTTTTAGATCTTTGAGTTCATCTCATGAAAAATGGGAGCAAAAACAAAAGTGTTGCATTTATATTTTTGTTCAGTGTATAAGCAATCTGAAGCTTGGATGAGCTGCTAACAAAATAAATAAAACCCTATGGAGAGCTGGGATGTACAGCATTTTCAGGCATCAAGAATTATTTACCTTCATTGGATTGATTTTTCCAACTTTTAACTGAACTTATGAGGCGATATACCTCTAGTGAGTGTCCCAGACCTTTGTATATATATTTCTGTATGTGGCCCTCGTGAAAAAGGATTTAGACACCGCTGGTATAAGGTTTACTTGCTTTGTATTGGTAGTGAATGGAAACATGCTGTTACTAATGTGATCTTACCATGCATTGTGTGTTCCCCACTGACCATCCATCGTGGAAGAGAGCATAGAGAACCATGGGGTAGGGGTAGAAAGCTACCACAAGGTCAGCAAAGGCCAAACTCACCACGAACACATTACCTGGAGAGGAAGACACAGAGAAGCAGTCTCTTAAGTACATTCAAAGTAACCTTCTCCCTGATTGTGATATGAGTCGTGCGCTTCATTATGCAGGCGACACCATAATCAGGCTGTTCCTCTAATTCCGCTCTAATGGCTTCACGCCTCATCTTCTCATCTCAACACATTGATTTGCCTCCTGATAGAATGCGTAAGTGGCAACACTTTTGATGAATTAACATTTAAAGTGCTCAAATGTGGGCATGTAAAACAGCTTCGTCATGTTTTGCAATGACATGCTGTTTGTGTTGGGATGTCAGAATCCATATAGTACCCATATACTGTACTCTATAATACAGTTGTATACATTTATAGCTTAAAGCTTGCATTTGTTCCAGAAAGCTAGACTTTTTATTAGGCTGGAATGAGTTGTGGACTATGATTTATGTTCTCTGTATTTTTATCAATATTATAAATGTGTTGTTGCGTTGATTCATAAGTTAAAAATAAGGTATTTTTATTGACTGTTCACACCATTGTCGACTGCTGGCTCCTCACTCCTTTGTTTGGCTGAGAGAGCTAACAGCTAACGAAACACCACATTTATATCACAGCTCTGTTCAAAAGAGAAACAGTCAACAAGAAGTGTTACTCAGTAAACTGCAATGAAGATGATCTGCGATCCACTGAGTGTTCCAGTTCCCGTGTTGTTTTTCCTCGTTCGCCCATCTTCACACCTGCTCTGTATCAGCCTCGTTAGTCCTTCCCTGCTCCCACAGCTCTGTAAATTTGCTCCTGCCTAATTTCCTCATTCCTCTCACCTGGGCTTCTCCATCTTTCCATCTGCACTTCATCCCCTCGTCAGATTGTTTGAAGAAGTCCTGTTGTTTTTGTTCCCTCTCGGTGACGACCTCCTAACCTATCAGGCTCTCCTCTCCTCTTTCTCTGCTTCGATCTCTCAGGCAAAAAGCACTTTCTTTCAAGATAAGATCCAATCTTCCTATTCCAATCCCAAAAAACTATTTTCCATCTTCTCCTCCCTCCTGGACCCTCCAAAAGCTCCTCCCCCCTCCTCCCTTCTGTCAAGCGACTTTGTTAACCACTTTGAAAAAAAGGTTGATATTCGCTCTTCTTTTTCTGACTCACCTCTACTCACCGCTGGGTCACCAGACTCTCCTTCCACCAACACACTGACCTCCTTTTCCCCTCTCTCTCCAAGTGAGGTTCTTACCCTCATTACCTCTGCCCGCCCTACCACCTGTCCTCTGGACCCTATCCCTTCAAACCTCCTTCAGACTATCGCTCCTGATATTCTACCGTTTCTCACCCATTTCATCAACACTTCTCTAACTTCTGGTCACTTTCCAAACAGTCTCAAGGAGGCAAGAGTAAACTCTCTCCTAAAGAAACCCACTCTCAACCCGTCTGATGTTATAAACTACAGGCCTGTCTCTCTCCTCCCGTTCCTGTCTAAAACACTTGAACGCGCTGTCTTTAAACAACTCTCCTGCTATCTCCATCAGAACAACCTTCTGGATCCGCACCAGTCTGGTTTCAAGGCAGGTCACTCCACAGAAACTGCCCTCCTTGCTGTCACTGAGGAACTGCACAGTGCTAAAGCAGCATCCCTCTCCTCTGTCATCATCCTTTTGGACCTGTCTGCTGCATTCGACATGGTGAATCATCAGATCCTCCTTCGCACTCTCCAAGAACTTGGAGTTTCAGGCTCTGCACTTTCCCTCATCACCTCATACCTCAAAGACCGCACCTACAGGGTGACTTGGAGAGGGTCAGAGTCCGACCCTTGTCAATTAACTACAGGGGTCCCTCAGGGCTCTGTTCTTGATCCCCTCCTCTTCTCCTTCTACACAAACTCGCTCGGATCAGTCATTAACCCGCATGGTTTTTCATACTACTGCTACGCTGACGACACCCAATTAATTCTGTCCTTTCCCCGCTCAGAGACCCAGGTCGTCGCACGCATCTCTGCTTGTCTAGCTGACATCTCTCAGTGGATGTCTGATCATCACCTCAAGCTCAACCTTGACAAGACTGAACTGCTTTTCCTTCCGGGAAAAGATTGTCCCACTCTTGACCTAACAATCAACATTGGCACCTCAGTTGTTTCCCCGACTCAGACTGCAAGGAATCTGGGTGTGATCCTAGATAACAACCTGTCCTTCACTGCAAACATAGCTGCTACAACCCGCTGCTGCAGATACACGCTTTACAACATCAGGAGGATACGTCCCCAGCTGACCCAGAAAGCGACGCAGGTTCTGGTCCAGGCTCTCGTCATCTCACGCCTAGACTACTGCAACTCCCTCCTGGCTGGTCTACCTGCATGTGCCATCCGACCTCTGCAGCTCATCCAGAATGCAGCTGCTCGCCTGGTCTTCAACCTTCCTAAATTCTCCCACACCACGCCGCTCCTCCGCTCCCTTCACTGGCTTCCGATAACTGCTAGAATCCACTTCAAGACAATGGTACTTGCGTACCATGCTGCGAATGGATCTGGCCCTTCCTACATCCAGGACATGGTTAAACCGTACACCCCAGCACGTGCTCTCCGCTCTGCATCAACCAAACGGCTCGCTGCACCCTCACTGCGAAGGGGACCCAAGTTCCCATCAGCAAAAACACGTGGGTTTGCTATCCTGGCTCCAGGATGGTGGAATGAGCTCCCCATTGACATCAGGACAGCAGATAGCTTACACACCTTCCGGCGCAGACTGAAAACTCATCTCTTTCGACTCCACTTTGAGCGATAGAACTATTAACAAAGCACTTATATACTAATAAAGGGCTGCTTATCTAAAGCCAGTTGAGTAGCACTTGAAATGTTTTTGCTCTATGAAGCCTGATGTACTTATATGATTCTGTTCTATATGATCCAAACCTTCACTTTATCTTCTAAGCTTTTGGTAGTGTTAACTTTACTGAGATATTAATGTCAGTTAATGTCACCAGAAAGCAAACAGAATTAATTTATACAGCAACCTTCACAGCTCACAGAGTGCTTCACAATCAAATCTAATCAAGTGCATACAAAAATCTGAAAAACTGAATATTCATGGTACCTGACTTAACAAAAATCTAAATGCCTGTTTGATCAGCTGGGTTTCTTTGGTCAACAGAGTCCGAATACCATCTTTCTGTTAGTACACTATCCCAATGCTTAGGTTCTGCCGACTGGAAAGCAGGCTCTCCCCAAGTCTTTAAATGTGTTGTGGTACATTTAAAAAACCCTAAGTAGAGGATCTTGGAGCACAGCTTATGCAGAAAGTCCATGGTATACTGTAGAGCCTGGTTATGTTCATTTATTAGTATCAAAAACGATAATAAACAAAGAATCCTACGCACCAAGAAGCACACATATTAAACATTCATTATAAATGAAGTATACCACATGTAAGGCAGCTTCAATCAGGATAACTGGAAGGGAAAAATCATTAAATTAAACATTTAAATTGCACTCAGGATACATGTTGTGTTAGATAATGCAGCTATGTTATTCCCTGTGCCCCTGCTTGGAATAACATGCTGCATAATGAGGGGAAACTCTCAAGGGACCTGCATTGAAAGAAAATAAGTAATGTAAGGGGGTCAAAAACAGTAATGGCCTTTATAATTAAATGAAAAAAACGGGCCATCCATCCTTAGCGAAGGGCTTACAGTGATGAGTGTTATAATTATCAGAGCATCAAAGGGCTTGAGAGTGGCAGCTGAAGCATCCATGTAGAAAATATCCCCATCATAAGACTGATAAGACATGTGTCTCTATCAGTATGCACCAATATTTCAAATGAAATACAATATGGGGCGAAGCCAGGCTACTTCAGGCAGTCAACTCGAACAACACGTGGTGCGTCTCGTCCCTCTTACAACCAACCAAACACATTGTCCTTAACTTGCCGCTCTATTTAAGCTGCCAGGTCTTCCTGCCTCTGCCTCGCTAATGCTGCTGCCACTGCTGTGTTTCATGTTGCTGCTGCTCGCCTGCCCCACCACCCCCCCAGCTTCCACCCCAACATCCACCTTTAGGCTCGGGGGAGAGTTATCTAATCATCACTCAATGTTCTATGTACATCTGTGGAGTGATGAGACCCGAGCCTAGACGCCAAACTTAAACTATATGCTGCTTCTAATAAACATAGTAAGAAACAACTGAGTTGTCTGACTGAAATGACCATGATTAAATGTGTGTATGCGAGGGGTTATGGCAAATGCAGCATAGAATTTTAAATTACAGCCCGATGAGACTTAAAAAACTAATAGTGTTCTTTCTTTAGTGTTTTCCATTATTAAAAGGACTGTGGGCCATGGGGAAAGAACACAAGAAGATTCTCATTTAAGGGTTCCTTTAACACGTTAAACGGATATCTTGTTGGTCTGGATTGTTCATTATCAAATGCTTTGTGTCTGTGGGCTTGTGTTTCATTTTAATCACTGCATTATGCAATGAAGGTAGACGCACATAAATCACGGTTAAGACAGTTTGTGTTTGAGTTCAACCTTGAGGCTACAGCCTTATTTAACAAAACCATTACGACTACTTTTCTTCTAGTTCTTTTAAAAGGCTTGCTAGTTCGTTTTTGCGGCATTTTTTATAAACTTGCTTTTATGCGTTTCGACCACAAAAAGGTGCATGTATGTGCCGATTTAATTAAAGGTCCCATGTCATGGCAATTTCTACTGATCATAATTCCATTGTTGAGGTCTACTAGAACAGTGTTTTTCAAAGTGGGGGCCCCGAACCCCCGGGCCAGGGGGGTCACGCAAAGTTTGAGGGAAAGGGGAATTTTTTTTTTTTTTTAAAGTAAATTATTATTTTTTTATGTTATTAATAACTGCATATCTATCAATCTATGTGTCCTTTGATGCCAATCTTTAAATATTTTTTATTTATTAATATATATTTTTTTTAAATCACACGACCGCCCTTCACGCCAATCAGAATCGAGCTGCCGCTACTGAGAGTGAAACTGAGTATCTGCTCAGCTTTTGGAGCAAGTGAGAGC